CTACTGGTGAAGTGGGATGATTTGTATTACTGGACTGTCATGCATCTTTAAGTCCTGCCTTGAAAGGACTCCTGGAGTCTGAGACATGCCCAATATAATGGTGTCATTGCTAAAAGGTTCACTGCAAATTTTGTTTGATAAAATTATGTCCTTTCACCTCACAGTAAAAAAGATGCAGTAGCTTGGTTTAAAAATAAAACCTCTGTGGCTCTAAGGGAACATCAGCCTGCCTAATGCGACTCACTGTGCCGTGTAGCTGTATCAGCTAGCAAAACACTCTGGCCTCACGCAGCCTTCTCCCTACCACAGCACTGACTGCTTTGAGAGAGAGGATTTTTCTGCTTACTTTGAGCTTCATACTTAACACTGTTATTTCTACAGGTTCGTCTTCTCACTGGAATTGGCAGATACAATGAAATGACCTACATATTTGAACTGCTGCATGAGAAACACTACTTTGAAGTGCTCATGAGAAAGAAATTAGACCCAGTAGGTGGAGGGGGGTAAAGGGGAGAAAACTTTCAGAGAATTGTGTGGGTACATCAGAAACTGATATTTACACAACAATGTGGAATTATCCGGGGATTGTAATTACTGCAGTGTAGGAAGTGTCAGTCAACTTTCATAGTAATAAATTAATTCTGGGGTTTATTATGTTTTTAGTTTAACAAGTTTGTTCTAATTAGTTCAGTGCTGCAATGAGAGCAGCATTGAAAGTTCAAGCTTGGGAATATCACTTAAAGTTTTCATGTCTGCTTTGGTTTTACTTCCAGTTAACGTTTCATGGTTTTTTAAAAAACATAAATATTTATAGCTTTCTTGTAACATAAAGTCATAAACATATGTCAGTTTGGACATTTGTATGTAAATAAATGCATAGATGCTGGATTTTCTTACATGACATAATGTAGTTAAGCCCAAGTATAATATTGCCATTATTTTTTAAAATAGTATGGAGAAACCTCAAAAAGTTGAACGATCACTTTTTGGAAAATTGTAGCAGAACAGATTTGCTTTTGGGTACCAAAATGTGAATGAAAAAAAAGCTCATCAAATTTTGATCTGATACTCCTTCATATGACCAGAGCGGGACATTGAAGACAGCTCTGCTGGATTACATCAAGCGTTGCCGTCCAGGGGACAGTGAAAAGCACAACATGATAGCCCTTTGCTTTAGTATGTGTCGAGAAATTGGAGAGAATCATGAGGCTGCTGCTTGCATACAGCTTAAACTCATTGAATCGCAGCCATGGGGTGAGTGGAAACTGCAAAAACAAGAAATACAAGCAAGTTTGTTTAAGAAGGAAGACATTATGGGTAACTGTAGCTTTGATTGCCTGTGTTGTCCTGGTAACATCCATCAAAGTTCCACTGTCTGGAAGCAGGGTCCTATTTGCCAGGCTTGGGGTATTCTTGTACTTAACAGTTTATCTGGCTGCTCTGGTATTTTTCAAAGAATTGAGATTTTTGGCTCTTACCATAATGTAGTGTTCCTGTGGTACCATGCATGGGAGGAGGTGAAGACACATGCATGTTTTCTTCACTTTAATTGGATGTGACACAGTGGTTTTTATATAAAGTATATATATATAAAGTGTTGGGGTCTTTATGTTTGTGCAAGGTAACTTCTAACATCTAAACTTGGCAAGTTCTATACAGCTGGGAGAATGCTGGGGAGCACACAGAGATCTCACTGTGGAGCAGTTAGCCAGTACCGTAACAGCAACTAGAACAGAAGCTATGCCAAATGGTTTATCTGGTAATAGTCAGTGCTCAGATCTACCACAAATGTATGACTTGGATTTCTTTTCAGTTCTTCAGTCTAGGTTCCAGCAATAGCTTTGGCTCATTAACTGAATAGGCATCACTGTTTCTTCGCACTTTTGTAATACAAATTTTTTTTTTTTTAGTCTTTTGTTGCTTTCTGAAACAACACTAGGGACAGACTTGGTACCAGGAGGTATTTTTGGAACTTATTTTGTCACCTTTATAAATAATTGGTTACTCTTTTTTTTCCCCCCCTCCCATTTCAGAGGAGTCTCTTCAGGATGTTGCAAATTTAAAGAAACTGCTGATGAAAGCTCTGACTCTCTTCATTGATGCAGCAGAAAGTTATTCTAAGGTAAAATGAGGTGGAATTGTATGACTTCTGTACAGCATTGGGAGCACATAAGGAGTGAGCTGAACTGGGAGAACAAAGCAAGCTGCTCTAGGGAGGGTGTGCAGAATCCTCTCCCAGTGGACAAGGAGCAAAGGAATCTCCTGCTCTGTCAGCTCAGCAGTATCGCAGCAGTCTCAGTAACACTGCTGTATCCGAGAGCAGTACACTGTTCAGGCTTTAACAGCTAGGGTTACAATTAGGTTCCCCAGTTTTAGCGGAGTGACCATGAGCTTAACTAGCAAGAATAGAACAATATAAAGAGTGTTTAAAAACTGGTGTGATTATGATGGAAGTATTTGTGGTGAGTGCAGCTTCATTTAAAACTAATGGAATATGATCAATGATCAACTGCAGTGATCTGAAAGATGAAATACTAGACAACTCCGAACTCACTGTTGCTCTCAGGAATATTTATTACTTTCCTCTGGAAACATGCTTCAGAAGCTTGCATTTGTTTTTGATTTATTAAATAGGACTCCTGTGTCCGCCAGTCGTTGCGCTGCAGTCGGCTAACAAAGCTGATAACCCTCCAGCTGCATTTTCTCAACACTGCTCAGAGCACTATGCTGATCAACCTGAACAGACAGAACCTGATGGACACCATCATGTCCTTGCCTAGATTCTATCAGGTAGGCTTGGCTTCCTCATCTGTTATTTTTTCTGAAAATGATTGTTTTAAACAGCAGGTACCTAAGCACTCTGCTCTGGTGAGCATAATGCTCAGCTCTTCCTCGTGGCCACCAAGTCCTGTGACTATTAACCCATCACATTGCTGCAGACGCTACCAAGCTTGGAAATGTAAGCGCAGTCCTGGTGTGGGCCAATGCTTTTAGCAGTCCTTGCTGGCTTGCTGCCATCGTACAGCCAGGACCTTGGCTATCCAGTGGCTCTCATGCTGCTGTGGATCTACACTGGAGCCCTGAAATCTAGTCTACATTGGCATCCATCATTTTGTAAATTCGGAACTAAGTAAGAAGAGGGCTTTTTAAAGAGAACAAACCGCACCCACCCACCTCTGACATCTTGTTTAGGGGTTAAGGAAGATTATCTGCAGTGCTTTGTTAGCCTTTTATTTCTGTGTAATACAGCTGCTCTCAAGAACAGCATCAAGAGATGGGCCAAACAGAAGACCTAGAATATTTTAAGTATTCTAAGTATAGGAATGTTTCTGTGCAAGAATAAACTCTTCCTGCTCAGTAATTCCAGCATGTGTTCTCTCTGCAGGCGGCTATTGTGGCTGAGGCTTACGAGTTTGTTCCAGATTGGGCTGAAGTTCTGTATCAACAAGTGATCACCAAGGGAGACTTCACTTACTTAGAAGAATTTAAACAACAAAAACCACTGAAGCCTAGCATATTTGAGGAGATTGCTAAGAAGTAAGTAGTTCTACAACCAAAATGGAACTTTTCTACAGGCTACTTTATAGGAGCAACTGCATGTTTAATAGCATGCAAGTCTTAGTACTGTTAAAACCTTTTCTGTGATAAAGTGTAGTATAAAGGGACTCAAGATCTATGTTCAGTTTCTTAAGCTTATTGTGGAAATAGCACTGGATCTACCATTTTTATTGAGCTGGATAAATAGGGTGCCTTAGGTCTGGTCAAATCGAATCTTTTTTAAAATTAATCAGAGGAAAATAAACAACCAAGATAATCAAATGTACATGTTGAGCACAATCTTTTTTTAAGAAATGTAGTTCTTATGGGTCTATAGCAAGATAATCTTATAATCATTGTCTGTGAAGCCTTTCTATTTCAATTATACGTACAATTATTTTCAGAGTTAAACAACACCCACCTACTGATGCTGCTCTGAAAAATCTGAAGAAATTGCTTGCTTACTGTGAAGATATCTACACATACTACAGGTTGGCTTACGATAACAAGTTCTACGATGTGGTAAATACACTTCTGAAGGATGCACAGACTGGCTGTTGCCTTAATGATATGTTATCAAACTAGACTCCAACCTCTGTGAAGTAGAGACTGTCTCTGACAAGTACCAGTGCCACAGCTTCTTGCATGGTTAGTACTGATTCTTTAACAGATATTTTTATCAATGACCTGCTTACAGTGATATGCTGCTATGTGAAAGTTACTCCAGAAAACTGGTGGCGGTTGTAAATATTTAAAATGCTGAGACTGCGTTAACCTAAAATTGTGTTTTGTATAATAAATCTTACTGTTTACAAAATACTTGACTAACCAGCAAATTCAGACTGGCGCAGCTGATGATGAACCACAGTGATCCAGCAGTCCTTTAAATTAGGGGAGTGGATGATGGATCACCATAGGGATTGTAGCTAAACTGACAAAAGGCCGAAATGGAATGTGCAGAACATCCAGCACACTGACAATGGAATAAGCAGGAGAATTAGTAAACTCCTTTGAAAGTTTCAGATACACACTAGGATAATCGATTTTTTGATTCCAGTCTGATTAGACTGGTTTTGTTTTCTAGCTTGCTGATAAAGTGAAAGTCTTGTACAACTCTAAACAGCATACACTATATTTGCTACTGTCTTGAAGAAGTAGTCCAGTACAAATGTATTCTTACAGTTACTAAATTTTAACTCCTTCCCATGCTTAGACAGTCCTACTGGGCAGACAGTTGGTATCAACACCCTGTCGGGAGCCAGGAACCAGAGTATTCTGCCACTTAAATGTTTTGGCAAGTTTACAAGGTCAGGGTTGATTTAACTGGGGAGGAGGATAAGACTTGGACACTGCTTCAGGCAGAAACCCAGTTTCAGCTTGGATTCTGTATGCTCCCCAAAATAAATGCAGCCTGCAGAGCTTCCAACTAATCCAGAGATGTCACCTCCTGTCCAAAAAAGGGGGGTGGGGAGGGCAGACAGCTTTTAAGTAAAATTAAGCAATGATATCGTACTATTTCTAAACATTATCCTAGCAAAAATACAATTGCCATAGCAACCCAGTTAATTAGCAAAGAGATGCTAACAATGTCCTTGCTGAATGTTTTCATGCTAGCAACTGCTGCATATGACAAATATTTACTTGCACAGTATTTATCTCAAATCTGCAATGGCAGCACTAAAAGATGTACACAGGTATACACAGTACAAGTCACAGCACCTTTGATAAATAAAACATTTTATGTAAGGAGGATTATGCCTGAGCAGAACCTGATTTAAAATTCCAGTTCTAGTCAGTCTCACAAGACCAAATTAGTCTGAGCTGGCTGTGATTAGTCTAAAAGTTAAATAATGGCTAGCAAGCAAAATTTGGGACCACTAACAATAGGAAGGATCTGGAAGAGCACCTGCCTTGTAGAAGCACACACACATCCCATCCATATTGGGAACAAACACCTGAGTAAACAGCAAGTGGTAAATGCAGGACAGCTTGTGATAATGGCAGCTGCTAGTTGGAACAAAGTAACTGCTTGCAGGAGTAAGGGCCACCCTAAAATATTCCTAAGGTAAGGACAAGCTGCTGATCTCAGCAGTTCCCACAACAGAAAAGATTAAGTTCCTCATGGAAATGCTTGGATTATGGCAATCCTGAAAGTACTTTGTTTACCATCAGCATCTGTAAGGGTCTTACCACAAGAAACAGCCATTTTACAAGAATGAAATTTTGCCCCTCTGACAGCAGTTAAGCTTAAGCTGCAAGTCAGAGCAGAGACAAGACCTAGTAGCACATGCCCAACACACGTTTTACAGCTCTTCCACTTCAAGTATTTTTGTTGTAAGAAAGATACTAAAAGAACTGGCCCAGACAGCTGTAGTGAAGTCCTCAATAGTGATTTTTATTAAATTAGTTGCTTTATAAAACATTGCAGATGTCATAATTGTTAACATAACAATTTGCCCAACTGTAGTAACTGTTGCAGTTTGCTAAGCAAGTGGTTTTTTTTTAAATGAAAGAAAATGGCTGAGTCGTGAAAAGTCTACCACAACCCATGAAAGCCCAAAAGTCTTGGTTTTTTACACTTAAACCAGGCAATTAACTGTTAAAGAATACCCAACCCATACAGCTGCATTAGTAGAAATTTAGATGAATGGAAACTAAACTTCATACTCAAGACACAAGTTGTTTTTTTTCAAATAAGCAACTCTGTCCTTGTTCTGACCCACCAAGTGTTCTATTCAGAAGTCAAGCATTGACGTAGTGGGTATCTATCTCAAGTGATGCATTCCCAGGTACAGTATCCTCACTCTGAAGTCAGCAGTTCCCCATCACAATATACTGAAAACCTCAAGCTCTAACTTAAGACAAAGCAATTGTAATACTAAGTGCACACCATGCCCTTGCTGCAAACTGCTTTTGTTCATCAAACAAGTCATTCAAGGAGGTACAGTTAAGGCCATGTCACTGAACTGTGCTGGTAATAATACTTTGCCTTGTTGAAATTCCTTTCCAATTTAGTGGCTGTTACTATAAAATCAAATAGCAACAGTTACCATTATCAGAATTTTGGTTTTTTTAACTGCAATTTACATAGCTTTTAAATGTCTTCATTCTAACCCCTGACCACAGAACAGGGAGCCCAGTGCTTTAGCACAGACCCGTCAAGAGTTAAACCACCAGCACAGAGATACTGCAATTTTGATTGTAGCATTTGGCAGAATTGAAAGGAAGAAAAGTTGTGCTACATGTTTAAGGGATTATGGGCAACAGAAAGACAATAGAAGGGGAGATAAGTGTCACATGAAGTCTTCAAAGTCTTGTACATATTCTCCATCGTATCCTCCATAATCAGCCAGGTCATCTTTCATAGTAGCCTTTAAACCACCTCCAGGCACAACCCCTTTTTTCTTCTTTTTGGCTTTATTCTGCTTAAATAGGAAGAGCATGTTTACTTTAAAATCCACAGTAATTTGTCCTTACTCTAAGTAGAGCAATGCCACATGTCTTTGGGTACCAGCATTCGCATACCCATGTGGTAAATGCACTGTTGTTGCCAATGATTTCTACCCCCGCATTTTGTCCCACAATGCAATCTAGTCATAGTAAAGCTATGGCATTTTCAGGTGTCCCACAGGACAGGAATTTAATGTGGCTTTTATCACCAGAGGCTGAAGATCTTTTTTTTTTTTTTCCCCAAGGAAAAGGAAGCCCTAAGCAAACTTTACAGAACATTTCACAGTAAAGCTCTTCCTTACTGGTTTGGTGCCATTGTAGGTTTCAGTGGTTGACCAAACTAATTTACATGAAAAGCCATGACAGAAAAGTATGTATACTTCCTATTTTTTATACTTTTTCTTTTTAAGCTTGCTTGGTTCAATAAGTCACAGGCCTCTCTCCAAAGTGCTGTTCACATTAAGGAAACAGTTCATCACATTTGCCAGCTCCAGACTTAATGCATCAACACTGGACATCGAGTTTGTTTTGCATTAAGGTGCCCCACGCATGCCTCGGAAGTTAGAACTGGCATCACAGAAGAACACCTGCTACTGTAACAGTTCCTGTCTCAGAGGTTTCCCATTTACAGGTTGCTACTCATGTGGAAAACACCCTGCCATTTGTTTCCTACCAATCCTTCAATCTGATTTAAAACATACCAAAGAGAGGCACTACTAGTCATGTTTTCCACTTGATTTTGTTGCTATCTAATGATTCAATTTATCATTGAACTCCAACCCACCTGGAGTTTTAACATAGATGTATGCTATAAAACACAATGCTTTGCATCACGTAAGCATCAGTTAAGCTATTACATCACCTTTTAAAACTTCCCCTCTTCCTTGCCTATGTAGTTATTCCTCCTTTAGTTTGCATGACAGCATAAAAATCCCAGTTACCTGCTGGTAAAAATCCCAAACTTTGCCAAAGATTTAAGTTACTTCCATAGATTGGTATTATATTGACATTTAACTCTAAATGAGGCTGACTTTTGCCTTCAGAATATTTGTGTAAGCCATTTTAACTCCAAGACAGCATAAAGTGGAACAAGGGTAGCACTTCGGTAACATTTATGTAAATTAATCAAGGTTTTGACTGTGATCTCTAGATTCAATCAACTCCTGATTACCTCACACGGTGAAGAGGATTTAATGCTAAACCAGTATCCAAGGTTATCTTTTAATCTCCTGCTACTACCTGTAACAGAATCAGCAGTTCAACTCAGTGTTAAACCTATTGCCATTTTCCAGATTAGCCCCTTTAGCGCATGTTGTTATTGCTGCAGAAACACACAGAAGTCTTACCTTTTCTTGTTTTTGTTTTTCACTGCATAGTACTGTCAAAGTATTTGTGATCTTTTTCAAATCATCAATTTCCACTACATTGGGGGGGAGAAAAAAAAATATTCCTTATCAATATTGTTCTTAGAAAGCAGTTAAATAATGTAACATCAACATTCTCTAAAAACTAGAAATAAGCATTAGTAATAAGTACAGGCAATTACTTGATTTAAATCTGCAAAATACAGACTGGGTAATTCTGGTCCTTATAATCACACCTACTATTTCAGATGGTCCCTAGTAAGCAGCTTGAATGCTGTAGAAGGTGAAACCTTCTGAAGAGTTAGGGAACACAAAAGTCTTAATGAGGAGCAATTTGAACAGTAAAATATGGATCCAGTAAAACACAGTAAAGCATATCAAAAGGAGCAGTGGATTAACAATAAATTGTTAACAGTAAATGGTCCAAGAGGTTGCAAGTCCTTCACTTCAGAAGATCTGGAATCCATCTGAAATGTAAGTTATCAGCTCCAGTCAGCCAGTGATCACTGTATTTATACAGCACTAAATAGTATCAAGTTACCACTTCACTGAAGGACAACATGTGTACAGTACAGGAAAAGATCTCAAGCAATGAGTTTACCAAGTAGTTCAGCCTACCCGAGCAGTGGAAAAAAATTAGGTTTAGTTTTATCTCTGTAGAGTTACATGTTGAATTCCAGAACAATTTATTTTGCAGTCCCAGAATTACATGTGAGCTACTCAAGTTACCTGGCTCAAAGAATTTTTTTATTATTATTTTAGAAGTGGCTTCAAGAAAAACATGCAAGATTCAGATCAGCATAGAAATTCATACTTTTAAAAGTGACTGTCTTTAACTGACATGCAGAAAGAGTAACTTGTACAAGCACACAATCTCTAATAAAGTTTGGGGGAACAGAATTGGATACTAGTTTGTGAAACAGATTAGTACTTCATTTACTATAAACTACACAGATCAATCTTGATTTAAGATTTACTATAAGAGCATGTTTTCAACTTCAACTCCATTACAATTTTGGTAGCAGTGTATTCTAGGATGTTTTTCACTTAACTTACATGAAATACATACGTCTCGAACTAATGCTTCCAAAAAACTGGCATAATGTAATGATTTTTCATACTGTGTGATTTTCTCTTTTAGTAGTTTGCCAAATTCCGTAAAGTCATCTTTTGAAGAGGGATTCATGGCATCTATTCCACAAGTGTTATTTACACCTGCAAGGAAAGACAGAGGTATTATAGAAAACATTAGCTGTGATCTCTGAAAGATGACACCAGAGCAAACATCATTCACATTCAGTTCCTCACCTCCACTGAAGCTTTACAAAACCAAAGCTGAGGTTTGCTCACTCACTTCCCACTGGCTTCTGCCACACTAGAGCTAACAGCCTGAGTTACTAGTCTGTATGGAGAGAGATTTTGCTGCAAAGCTTAGTAATTTGAACCAGCTATCCCTGTTCTCTGGACCAGTGTGCACCCCATGAAGCACCTTTCCCCTACGATAAGGAATTCCTGTCTTGAGCTCGTAACTGCAAAATTTACTTCTTTGCAACTGTATTCAATGAATTCCCCCTGACCCAGGGCACTGTACTCTTTCAGACTCACAGAGCAGAATTTTCACTGAGTAATAAGCTGTATAATTCACTATAATCAAGGAAACATGCTCTCATGTTTGAAGAATGCTGCTATGAATCAGTATCTCTGCTAGTTCTGTGAAAGCACAAAACCAGAATGATCTGCTTTAAGTCTACTTTGTCTATGCCAGGAAACAAGCTCATTCCACCAACTTAACTGGCTTTCTCAACATCTAGCTTATTGCATAGATTGCCCGAAGTAAAGCATGCATGAGTTGTGCTGTGCCACACTCATCCAAAGCCTCATTAAATCCATGTTGTAAAGCACCTCCAAACATTAAGAGACAGCACTTTTTTCTTTTTTTTTTTCCTTTCTATACACTCATCTTTTACCAGGAGTACCAATATGCTGGAAAATTGAGTTGGCCATCTTTTTCCTACAACTCCTACTGTAACATGTTAAGAAAAAGCACCTTCTATTCTAAAATGTTTCTGTGGTTCTTGCAATTAGTCCTTAGTACCAGGACATGCCTCCAGTAGTCTGGATTTAAACCCCTCTTTATTCTCAGTAACACAACCTGCATGTGCTCCCACAGTCAAATCCTGCTCAGTTCTTTTTGCAAGGTATCTACACATAACACAGTTTTATTTAGAGGATACAGCACTTCCGTGCTGCTACAGTTACAGCGACTTGCTTGACTTGGGCACAGCACACTTACCAAATGTTTCTTTTGCTAACTCAAGGTCTGACTCCTCTTGTAACTTCTTTAGTCGTAGTTTGTCTGCTAACTGTTCTTCTGGTGTAAGTTCTTTGTGTTCCTCTGGTGCCTCTAACTGAATAAAAAAAGGTATATAGGGAGAATGTTAGATTTCTTACCCTTGAGCAGAAGTAGTAGAAGAAATCATGTTTTTTCCAGTGCCACTTGAATAGCTTACTTCTGCCTGAAGTCAATACACTTCAAGCATGTACAGACCTGAAAACCTTTCCAATGAAGTATAACAATGCCACATTGTTTAAGAAATTGTTCATTTTACAAGAAGTGGGAAGAAACACCTTAGAACTAAGTTTCACAACTGCATGTTTTATCATGTGGTGCATACAAAAGAAACAGAGATAAGCATTATTTCTATAACTGGTTAAATTACAGAGAAATTAAAGCTAACATCCCCCAGATGCATTAAGTACAAGACAAGTTTGTTTTATCAGACTAGTCAAGATATTTACAGGTCTTGTTGAGCTGCGCAAAAAAACCCCCACAACACCCCCCCCCAAACCAACCCAAAGCTGCCCTCTAAATTTTGATACCTGGAACAATAAGGACTTACCCTTTTTTTAAGCTCCTCTTGCTTTTTCTTCTGTAGCTTTTCTTTTTCTTTTATTTTTTCTGCTATTTTCTTTTTTTCTGAAACTTTTGGTTCTGTAAAACATTGAACAATACAGCTCTCAAGAGGTCTACTGATTTTTTTTCCAGCAACTCTAGAATCACTAATCAAATAGAAAGCCACAGAGCTCAGTTACTGGAATCTGAATACAGAGAGTTAAAAGACATGCTTTGTCAGAAACAAACCCAACCCTATTACGTGGGTTTGATTCTTCAGATACACTCAAGACAAAACCAGTGTCTGTTCTGATGCTGTGTACAGAATCCTGTATTACTTTTAAGTCCTACCTTGTTTTATCTCCGTCTCCTTTACTTCCTCCTCTTCCTCCTCATCATCCCAGTTATCCTACAAAATAAGTTTTAATTAAGATTCTTTTACCTAAACAAGTAGAAAGTATCTGTAACAAAAACAAAGAACAGCAGCTTACATATAACCTCTTTAAATGCTCACATATCCATTAATCTTACATATTGAGTGAGGAAGCGGGGAGGAAGTCGTGAGAGCTGTACAAGGGCACGGCTTTTGGCTGTTGACCAAGATGTTTCAGGATGACTTCTTACCGTGAAAAGGGCAGCTTTTATTCAAAGAATCAGAAAGCTCATGTCAATATAGTTACAAAAGCAAGCTCATGAAAAGTCAAATCAACACCCACAGTAGAACATGAGTTTATTATAATTTCTTGTATTACACATTACAAGATACTGGAATGCCATCGCATGCAGGCATGTAGTACAGCCACCGCTGGAAACAGACAACTCGACAGAAACCATTTGAAACCAGAACGCGCTGTCACCACCACCCAAAGACCCACTCCTTCCCAGACACCCGCTCCCCATAGCTGTGCAGCACCAGCGTGCCCCTCTCCCCTGTGCTGGGAAAAGCATTCCTGTGGCTGCATGGGAACTGCGACACATGGGTGAACACTAACCCGGATCTGCTGCCAACACAACGCGCAGCAGACAAGGCTGTGCTGCAGGAGCAGGGAAAGCAGCAGTAAGCAGACAGAGGAGAATGCAGGGGCCCCAGCTTTGAACAGGAATACCAACTTCTAACAGTCACAAGATCACATTTTTGACCAATGACTATGGCATTTTTTTTTAATAAGCAAAGGAACTATCAAAAGACTTCTCACAAACAAATCACTTAAATCACAGAATCATAGAATCGTTTAGGTTGGAAAAGACCTTTAAGATCAAGTCCAACTGTCAACCCAACACCACCATGCCCACTAAACCATGTCCTGCGGTGCCTTGTCTACACAGTTTTTGAACCCCTCCAGGGATGGTGACACCACCACTTCCCTGGGCAGCCTGTTCCAACACCTGACAACCCTTTCAGTAAAGAAATTTTTTCTAATATCTAATCTAAACCTCACCTGGTGCAACTTGAGGCCATTTCCTCTCATCCTACCACTAGTTACTTGATAGAAGAGAAGAGGTGTTTGCAGTAACTCTGCCTCCAGTTTTCACCTTCAGCACGTTCAAGATTCATGGTGGTCCTCAGCCACCGCGCCGCACGCCTCACCGTCAGCCATCGCTCACAGCCCTCCTTCCTTTCAGAGCCACTGTCTCCCACTCCTCGTGGCCACTGACCTGTACCCAGGTGGATGATCCATGGTTCAACCGAATACTACATGGTTCAACCGAATACTAAAGAAGCATCATTTTCCACGAAACTGACCTGCTGATGTCATCTGCAGACTTTGTGAGCAGTAATTCTGCAGTTTCTTCCTGACAGTTACCTGGGTAAGTGTTAAGGGAATACATATTCTTGTCCTAATGCCACTCCAAATTCTAGCAGATGGCCTCTGCATGGAAATCAATGCTCTTAAAATTGATCTGAAGTTACATGCTGAGTACCACATGATGTACACACCAGAAGTTAAAGCCAAGAATTCTCACAGGAATCTAATTTCAGTTACCTGTTTCAACTCAACTTGCAAGCTTAAGAGACTACACTTGACAAGCCCTAGTTTACACAAAAGTCACACATACTGTCAATATGCCATTATAGGTAAGCTTAAAAACCATAAATCCTAAATTTTGTGATTTCCACCTCACAGCAGTAATGCAGGCGGTCATGCAAGCTACTTAGAAATTTCTAAGGGTTGCTACTGGCACGGCAAAATAAAAGACATTGACAAAAGAACTCAGTATTTCACTGCAATGTGCTGATCCAAGCAAGGAAGACACCTGAGTTCATCTACCAGCTCACTCAAGTTAATTGGCACTTGTAAGGGATTCGGCTTCCCTTCCACATTCCAAGAAGCTGACTTGAATTTGGAACAGCATTATTTTAGGTCACATCTAATTAAGAGTTTGTTACACCCACTTCTTAAATAGCTCTTTTCATTACTGCTGTATATAGCTTGCTGCCTTATCCCTTGCCCTGTCCTTCACAGACAGATCTTAAAATCAAGTATTTTATGGTGCAAAAACCCAGAGGAAGGGCATCCTGCCCATGATGTAAAGATACTCACAGGACTGAAGGAAGCTACATCATTAGTAAGTTTGGGAGACTGAACAGAGGGTACGTGGGCAAAGACTTCCACGTGACGACAGACACACTCCTTCCCCACAGCAGACCACATCCCTGCTAGCCACGCCTGCACAGGGACAGCGCACAACATGATGGCAGTTTCAGCCTGCAAAGCTGGGATGATGAAGCGACACAGAAATAGCAGACCCTTCAGAGGGCAGCGTGACTGCCTGCCATCTGGCCCAACCTGCCCCTGAGCTGTTAGGTGGAATTTAAGATCTCGACTTTAACCGGAGTGATCGTTGACTGCTGGGAGCCCACCCACAGCCCCACAAGCAGAACAACGCTGCTGGAACCAGGGACAGGCAACTGCGAGCTCAGTGTCATCAGAGGAATGCTCCTGGTAGGGCAACCTGCGAGACATCACCATCTGAGGATTCACTCTTCAACCTGGTGTGCTATATGCAGGTCTCCCAGCTATGCTGAATACTCTCTCACTCTTCTCCAAGATTTTTGTTTGTTTGTTTTTAAACAGCAATAGAACATGATTAATATACTTTTTTTTTTTTTTTACTGGGGGCAGGGGGAGCATCCAATTATACACCTATTTCTGTGTTTTATAAATGCCAGTGAACTCTCTTGGAGGAAAAGAAAATTGCTTTAGTGCTGCATCTTTGCACTGATACTACGTAATTCAAAGAGGACATCTTTATTCCAAAACATGTCCACTACAGTAGCTTAAAACTTTGAAGTATTTCAACAATACTTATTTACGCATACTTATCTAAACTAAGGCTATTGAAACATCTTCCGTTCCATGTAAATAAACCCCTGATGAGAGCAGCTCTCTTACAATTTCATATGCTCCAACACATGTACCTTAAACATATGATAACGCACATTATTCCCCCCAAAAAACAGAAGACATGACTGAAAAGTGACAGGTGCTCCAGCATTTAGATTCCCAGCTAAACCTGAATGCTCTCCTTCAAAGCAAAATGACTGTACCATGCCAAAGGCTGTCACCTAGATGACAACAAGCACAGCTCCCAGTTTTGGCTTTGCTAAGCACAGAATTGCCCAAGAGTAAATAGATGAAAATTCCTTGGCAGGAGGCCCGTCTTCTGGGAAACTTGTGTTCTGGGTAACACTGGAAAGTAGTTTTGTTACTGATGAAGATGCTAATTTTAAACCTGGGGAAGTCAAAGTTTCCTAACTTAACAGTTACTTTCAGTTCATTTCTAAAAAATCTTCCAAAATAAACTACAGAATCTGAATATATAAAACACGTTCCAAAACATGAAGTATCAACCTTAAGACAAACTAATCATCAGAAAAAACTTTGTGCTTCTATTTTAGACCATGTAATTTTTCTTCTGTGGGTACTTCCCCAAGGTGGACCCTTGCAAACAAAGAATCTAGAGCTGAAGCAACCACCTCCCAAGCTCAGTTCTGTCATCTTTGTTGCTTCTACAGGAAGAGCAAATCAAAGTAAAATAAAACAGCTTTCTTTGCTGGACTGGTCCCTCTCTCTAGATGCAGCTCCAGTACTAAAGCCATAATCCCTTAGAAAGAGTTAAGTAGTTGCATTCCTACTACATGTGGGAAAACAGTATTCCTTTATTAAAACAGCCACAGAAAGCACGGGTGTCTTCAAAAGAATAACACGTTAGAGTCCAGTTCTCTTGGACACATTCTATCATAGCAGAAAAGTTTCTCACTTTCAAAGGAAGGAGGAAAAGCAAGTCTCACAGAGAAAATGAATCTAAGATTTATGTGTATATATACACATATACAAATTTTATATATATATGCATATAGTTACATACTAACCAATCTTTCCAAATGACTGTAGCTACTGTATACAGAGATACCTTTACTTATTTTGCCTGCTGTAATGTGACACCTATGATAACTATAGGGTGCGGGGAAATTATTAAATTTAAGAAGGAAAATGGACAGCCTGTAACTCACAAAAGTTTGTTAACTTTTTTTTTCTTTTTTAAGAGAAGATGAACTACTTTTTTCATACTATTTACAAAAAGAAAACCACCCTAAGCTCCAAGGACGACTGTGTTAATGTTTTTCAGAGATTCTGGTAACACAGTCAGCAGCCTGAATAACAAACCCAACAAGTCCTCACCCAGTAAGCACCAATACTTTACTCCAGAAAGCTTCATACCTGTGACCATACTACAATGACCACACCACCCCGTGAGACTGTCTACTACAATATCTCAGCAGCTTGATTTGAAACAAAAAGGTCTTTTTCTGTCAACCTATTTCCATTCCTTACTTTCACCAAGCACGTTCCTTATATGTTCCCTGGCATCATTTTGCTTACTGTCTGTACGAACACGGAGCAAACTGAGGTTTCTGTGGCATCCACCATTCACTCCCCCTAGCTCACTAAGGGGCAGCTGGAACTAAGTAGGAGAAAACAAGCTTTTAAGGAAGGTCTGCTTTTACAAGCATCAGAAATTAACATCTGCACCTTTTAATACCAATTCCATGCAGACATCACTCTCTGAAACACAGTAAAAATCCGTTTCAAATACTGCCTTAAGTAAACGTATTTTAAGTGATCAGGGCACTACCAAATCTGAAACTGCAGAGTAAGGCTGCTGTACTTTCCAACTGTGGCAGTGGGGCCTGGGGGAGGGGGGTGGTGCGTGAAGAAGTAGGAAAAAGGGGTGGAAAAGACATGCTGCCACACAACAGAAGTTTCTGGTCAATAGCAGAAGCACAAATCCAGCACTGTTTTCATTAAATCCAATCCTAATGCCTCACCCAGCACACCATACTCAAAACTGGGAATCTGAAAGGCTACAGAAAGCAAGGGGAAACCAGCTGGCCACAAGAAAGCACCCAGAAGCCTGGCAAGCTGCTGGGAAGCAGCAGGTGGATCCCCCAAAGAACAGGAGACGCCTCTTCGGGCTTGAAAAGCGTCTGTCTGTCTGCCTGCCTGCCTTTTTTCCCCTGGAAGTCCCAATGCAGCGGGAACGAGCCTCGGGCAGAAGCGCCCGCTCTCAGCTAGGATTAAGGGACGCAGGGCAGAGACCAACTCGTTTTCCACTTGGCATTTTGACTTGTCATCTGTAACCGACCGCTGCCCTTTCAGATCACCAAGCCCCAAGAGCCGCTTCTACCCGGGCGGAGCCGCCGCTCC